ATTACTTTTCCTGCTTTTCTTTGATTTCTGTTTGAGTTATTTAGCACCGTACAAAGCTGACTTACATACTAGTCTAAGTTATTCACACCCAATAGAGCCTTTCCTACCTGTAAAGATCACGTCCCACAAATAGGGCTCTGCAGAGCCAGTAAATCCCCACACCAGTCCCAAGGTCCTGCTGAGTCAACTTCTGGCCCAGTGGACTAGGCATTTCACACTACACAGCTCTGGCTTGGTGCACTACCCATTGTACGATACTTCTCCTAGGCCCAATTTCATCAGTAACATCCTCCCTCTATTGCTCTATTCACTGCTGAGCCATCTCTTTGGCCCATCATTATTTAAAAGTCTTTCAGGCGTCTCAGATGTAGAATGTTCCCTGATTATAGGTTTCCTATATTGAGCATAATTAAGGACCCCATCTAAATGTTGGGTCATGGATTTCCTTTGGGCCTGAGGGGTGTCTTCCATGACTTCTAACTTGCTCTCTCCCTGTCCCACTAATTCTTCTCAGGAAGAGCACATTAGCAGAGTTATTTTGTACTGCCTTTCCATTGTGCCACCCCAGTCATATGTAGCCGTGCCAATGCCTTCAGCTCACTTATGTCCCTTCCTCCCTACTTTCAGACCAGTTCAGAGGCTAGCGTGGAAGATAACACCCACAGATCTTTCCCCATAATTTCTGTCTTACATAATCAAATTCTTTCTGCACAGACAGCTGAGTCTCAGTTTCATGTCTTTGTTTTGTTTTTCGAGACAGGGTTTCACTGTGTAGCCATGGCTGTCCTGGAACTCCCTCTGTAGACCAGGCTGACCCCGGACTCAGAGATCTGCCTGCCTCTGCCTTCTCAATGCTGGAATTAAAGGTGTGCACCCCCACTGCCTGGCTCAGTTTCCTCTTCTCAGTTCTCCAGCAAAGGCCACACAGGCAATGGCACAGCTTGCTCATCATTCTGTCCCTTACTGTCTTAGGGTTACCCATTGCTGGGATGAAATACCACAACTGAAAGCAACTTGGGGAAGAAAGGGCTTTTTTCACTCACAAGTCCACAGTTCATCGTCAAAATCAGTGAGGTAAGGAACTCAACCAAGCAGGGCAGGAACCTGGAGACAGGAGCTGATGCAGAAGCCGTGGAGGAGAGCTATTTACTGGCTTGTTCCCTCTGGCTTTCTCATCCTCCTTTTTTTTGTTGTTTTTTGTTTTTTTTTTTTGTTTGTTTTTCGAGACAGGGTTTCTCTGTGGCTTTGGAGGCTGTCCTGGAACTCGCTTGGTAGTCCAGGCTGGTCTCGAACTCACAGAGATCCGCCTGCCTCTGCCTCCCGAGTGCTGGGATTAAAGGCGTGCGCCACCAACGCCCGGCTCTCATCCTCCTTTCTTATAGAACCCGGGACCACCAGCCCCAATGCTAGCACCCACAATGGACTGGGCCTTCCTACATCAATCACTAAGAAAATGCTCTACAGTCTTGCCTACAGCCCAATCCTATGGAGGCATTTCCTCAATTAAGGCTCCCTTCTTTCTCATGACTCTAGCTTGTGTCAAGTTGACTTTAAAGTAGCCAGCACTCTTACATACTACTTTAGAGACTGTAACATATCTTCTATTCCATCAGCAATTTGGGAGCATCCTCAGATTCATGTGGTAGACCCCATTTATTAAGAAGAGTAAAACTGCTAGCTGTCCTTACATTGAAGGGGCCAGAATGTGACTCCATCTTAGATAGGAACAACTCCAGTATAGATTATTACCTAAGCCTGAGTCCAGGAAGTCCCCCAGCCAAGTCTAGCCAATCAGCTAAACAGTTTTTTTTTTGTTTTTGTTTTTTTTGTTTGTTTGTTTTTTCAAGACAGGGTTTCTCTATATTGTTTTGGAGGCTGTCCTGGAATTTGTTTATGTAGACCAGGCTGGCCTCGAACTCACAGAAATCCACCTGCCTCTCAGCTAAACAGTTTTAAACCTGACCTTAAGGCTGGGAAACCCCAGAGTTACAGGGTAAGGCTATTACTGACCATATATGACTTAAAAAGTCCACAATGGGTGGAACTGTTACTAGCCCTGTCCAATCGACATGTGCCCCATGGAACTGGTCCCTGACTGCCCAATGAGAACAGAGATTAGCTCACCATACTTAGAATTCCCCAGGTTTTCTTAAAAAGGGCCTGAGCCCCTTGATCCTGGGTTGTCATCACCATTTTGTGTGGATGATTGATCCCTGCATGCTGGCTTCTGCAGAATAAATGCTCTTTGTGTTTGCATACTATTTGAGTCTGGAGACTTTCTTCAGTGATTCTCAGACCCTTATACCATTACAGCTTAGGCTGTCCTGGAATCCATATGTAGCACAGACTGATCTTAAACTTGTCATAACACTCCTGCCTTACTCTTCTAAGTACTGAGATTACAGGTGTCAGCCACCAAGTTAGCTTGTCTTTCTTTTTTCTTTTTCTTTTTTCTTTTTTCTTTTTTTTTTTTGGTTTTTATGAGACAGGGTTTCTCTGTATTGTTTTGGAGGCTATCGGTCCAGCCCGACCTCGAACTCACAGAGATCTGCCTGCCTCTGCCTCCCGAGTGCTGGGATTAAAGGCGTGCGCCACCTCCGCCCGGCTCTTTTTTCTTTTTCTAGTTTAGTGTTTTATCATCCATAGCAGGGCTAAAGCAACTGTCACCACAGCACAGAGGCATGCTGCCCCACACTACAGAGAACAGACTGGCCCCATCAGGATTGCTCCCCATTTTCCACAGACAGTTCACTCTCAGATGGTTTAGGTTCAGTTATATGTCTCATCCCCTCTTCCTCCTGTTGTGAGACTATTCCTGGAGAGATGTAAACAAAGGTCTACTCATCCCAGATTTGGAAATGACTACAGATTAAAAAAGTACAGATACCACACCACCAAAGTCCAACTCGGCTTTATTCCAGTTAGAGGAGCAGAAGACTCAAAGACAGCTGCATCTCTAAAGGTCACTCCAGCGTGGATGATAAGACACAAAAGCTAGCCGGGTGTTAGTGGCACACGCCTTTAATCCCAGCACTAGGGAGGCAGAGGCAGGTGGACCTCTGAGTTCGAGGCCAGCCTGGTCTACAAAGTGAGTTCCAGGACAGCCTCCAAAGCTATCTGATACAAGGGATATGTGAAATTAGATCCCTAAGAGGGATCATGATCCACAGGTTGAGAACCATAAAGGCAGCCTCTGTGGTCCCTAGTATATTAAAGTCTATCTTTCAGTGAACTTAAATGGAGTCAGCTGAAGCCAAGTATGGTGACCCATGCCTGTAATCTTAGTACTTGGGAAGCAGGGGCAGGAAGATCAGGAGTTCAAGGCCAGTCTCCTCACCTGGTCTTACCACTCCCCCACACACACCTGTTTTGTCTTTTTATGGATACTGAGAAAAATGGATAGTGTGCTGGTTACTTTGTCAACTTCACACAAGCTAAAGTTATCCAGGAAGAGGGAACCTCAAATGAGAAAATGTCTCCCCCACCAGATTAACCTGGAGGAAAGTCTGTGAGGCATTTTCCTTTTGGCATGTCTGGAACTCCCTATGTAGATCAGGCTGGCATTGAACTCACAGAGATCCACCTTGACTGTTGGGATTAAAGGTATGTGCCACCATCAAGCTCATTTTCTTAATTAATCATTGATATGTGAGGGCTCAGACTCTGTGGGTGATGTCAACCCTGAGCGGGTGGTTCTGGGTTGTACGTGAAAGGAGTCTGAGGGCCCCAGAGATGGCTCAAGCTCACAACCAAAACAAGAAAGTAGTCTGAGCAAACCAAGGAAAGCAAGCCAGTAGGCAGTCTTCCTCCGGGTTCCTTTCTTGAGTTCCTATCTTGACTCTGAGTGATAGACTATTACCTGGAAGTGTAAGATGAAATCAACCTCACCAAGTTGCTTTTGCTCGTGCTGCTTATCACAGCAACAGAAAGCAAACCAGGGCAATCTTGAGAGAAAATCTGGTGTGTGTGTGTGTGTGTGTGTGTGTGTGCGCGCGCGCGCGCGAGTGTAACAACTTGAGACAACATATTCAAAGAACCGCAAATCAATGAGTGAGAACACCGTTAGAAAATTGTCTTTAATGCCGCGCGGTGGTGGCGCATGCCTTTAATCCTAACACTCGGGAGGCAGAGGCAGGCGGATCTCTGTGAGTTCGAGACCAGCCTGGTCTACAGAGCGAGTTCCAGGACAGCCTCCAAAGCCACAGAGAAACCCTGTCTCAAAAAAAAATAAATAAAAATAAAAAAGAAAATTGTCCTACGGTTATTATTGACTGAAGAGACAGCTTCCATCGCAACCGTCTCAACCTGCTACTTATTCATTCGGGACAGATTTCCAGGAGAGATGCAGAATCAGGAGCAAGGGAGGAATCACCCGGCAGCCTAATACAACACCAGCAACACTCCATCTGGGAAGTGGGAACTGGTGGCTTTGCCAGAAGTTCCCCAGACGGCTGAACACCTGTAAGAGTCTCAGACTGCAAATCAGCTCGTCTGCTTGTAGGCGGGGCCTGCGCGGAGCTGGCCATACCACGATCCGGCAGGAGCACACAGGGGCGCACCTCCTAGTCCTTAAGCTGGGAGTAATGGAGAGCTTCCAGGACCCACAGCAGGAGAGGGATGCACCTCGAGGTTCCACCGTTTGGGGGCGCACCTGAAGGGGGATGCACAGCTGGAAGAAAGAGCGCGCTCAGGGATTAGCATGGCTCTGGAGCGTGTGGAGGACTGCACAGTCTCATCCATCCACAAGCTATCAGGGTCTGACGCTTAGAGCGCACGTCTCAGTAAAGCAGGCTGTCCGTTCATTCTACTCATCGGAGCTCTACAGTGAGAACACACCTGGGCTCCAGCCTCCCAGGACCGGTGGAAAATAACCAAACACAACCGAGGAAGAGACCAAGGACCGCAACACGGGCGTGGTCTACAGCATTAGCCTCCAACTACAAGGGCGGGGTTCGTCTCCAGAGGGTGGGGCCTCACCTAGCTTTGCTCCGATTGGTCAGGACGCGTGAGGCATTGTGGGTCGCCGCGCTCCTGCTGCCGCCTCAGCTGTACGCGCCTCGCCATGTCGGGGTCCCCTGTAAAACGCCAGAGGATGGAGTCCGCTCTGGACCAGCTCAAACAGTTCACCACCGTGGTGGCCGACACGGGTGACTTCAATGGTGAGAGGACGCGGCGCATGCGCCCCGAATAAGCTGCGGCGCCCCCAATTTTGGGATCAGGACTGCTATGGGTGCCTGGGGCGGGGCCTCGCGGGCGCTGGAGCCGGGATTGGCTAGTCTGCGGAACTCTCAAGGTTCTACCCGGCCTCCGGGCTATTGGTGACCCTGGGGGCCCCTTGCGAAGCTTCCGTGGTTCGAGACTACGGTCCAAGGAAGAGTTCCGCAGACCCTGTGTATCCAGCCTACTATAACATAGGCTCAGCTTTGCAGCCGGTGTAGTCTGCAGGGCCGGGACGTCCTCTGTGGACACCACCTGATTTTGCAGCCTGTTGCATTGGCCTTCCAAGGTGGCAGGCAGCTGGTTACCGTCTGGGTACCCAGTGTGGCTGGACTCAGACCAGATGCACATACTAAATCAAGTGGTTATTTTATTGCCAAACCTCCTTCCCTTAGGGTTTTACAGTGTAGTCCAAGCTGGCCTGGAACTCCTTCCTGGTAATCCTTCTGTCTTAGCCTCTAAGTACTGGATCAGGCAGTGCCACCACTCCCAACCCAGATTTTCCTGGACTTGAAGAGAACTTGGAAGACATAGGTAGAAAGGCTTGCACTGCTAGTCTAGCTCTCAGCCTTGGAGAGTCGTGCAGCTGAGCTTGTTTCACATCTGCTGTGAAAATGAGACTTTGAGGAAATGCTCCAAGAGAGCCCAGTACAAAAGCACCTTCTGCTCTTTTCTGCTTTCTCACGGTGACTTGAGAAACAGGCTTTAATTCCTCATGAGTAAGTGCATTGTTTATCTCTCAGAGAGAGTGATTAGGCATATTTGGGCTGCTTAAATATAAAGGAAAGACAGACCTGTCCTGGGTCTATTAGCAAACCTGCCTGGCAGAAGCTGTGGGTTTGTCAGGGAGCTTCCAGAAATCCCTGTGAGAGTCCTGAGGTCTTTCCACTGTGTGTGTAGTACAGATCTTTTTTTTTTTTTTTTTTTTTCCTCGAGACAGGGTTTCTCCATAGCTTTGGAGCCTGTCCTGGAACTAGCTCTTGTAGACTAGGGTGGTCTCAAACTCACAGAGATCCGACTGCCTCTGTCTCCTGAGTGCTGGAATTAAAACGTGTGCCACCACGGCCCGGCTGTAGTGCAGATCTTACAGGTTAATGTTTATGATCACAGAGTGCAAGAGCCAGGCATGGTGGTACATGCCTGCATTTGGGAAGCAGAGGCAGGCAAGGCAGATCTCTATGTTTGAGGCCAGTCTGCTGTCCACATAGTTCAGGCCAGCCAGGTCTCAAACAAAAATAACAAAAGTGCATTCATTGATAGTGTAGTTTAATATACAAGTTAAATAATTATAAACGCTGCATTCAATTTGAGGTCTGTATTGTATGGTGTAGGTCCTTAACTCCTTGGGTGTCACAGGCGCTTGAAAATAGAATCTGGACTCTAATGGTGGGAACATTTGCCCCCTTTATTTTTCACTAAACCTAAGGGTCTTTTTTTTTGTTTTGTTTTGTTTTGTTTTTGTTTTTTTGTTTTTTCTTTCGAGACAGGGTTTCTCTGTGTAGCTTTGGAGACTGTCCTGGAACTCGCTCTGTAGACCAGGCTGGCTTCGAACTCACAGAGATCCGCCTGCCTCTGCCTCCCAAGTGCTGGGATTAAAGGTGTGCGCCACCAACGCCCGGCTAAACCTAAGGGTCTTTAGACCTTAAAGCTCATCTGTAGGAGTGGGACAGGGATCAAGCCCAGGGCATCACACCTACTAAAACGGGTACTCTATTGCTGAGCTGTATCCAGCCTTTGGGTCTGTGTGCCCTTCAAAGGACTCACACCTGAGCCAGCACCACTCCAGAGCACATTTTCCCCTACTTGTTATTTCGAAATAATTGCAGACTCCCAAGATGTTGCAAAAGTAGCCCATGTACCCTTTGCCCAGTTTCCCTAATGATGTCCAAATCAGGAAGCAGACACCAGTGAGCCATGCATTGTGCTGCCTGCAGACCAGGCCTGCTGTGGTTATCTCTGCAGCGGTTTCATAATGTGTAGGCTTATATTAGCACTACAAGGACACAGAGTTATCTCCTTCTTATCCTCAAAAGACTTATGGGCATAGTGGTGTAGACCTGTAATGTCATCCCAACATTGGAGAGGTTAAAGCAGGAGGATTACAAGTTTTAGAAAGAGTTAAGCAAGCTCATGTCCTCCTGGCAACTGAGCATTGCCCGTTCACTTGGATAGCTGAGCTGACAGGGGCTCATTGACTTTTCTGAATTCCTGAGGGAGGGGTACAGACCCTAATATGTTAAAAGAGCTAATACAGCTTGGCATAATATGTGTTCCCCTCTAAAAACAACAAAAAAATTATAAGAGCTGAAGCTAGTGTCAGTGTCTGCATGCCTATCAGTGGTTTAGGACTAGTGCACCACCTACTGGCTCTGGGGCAATAGGACAAACTTGTGGAGCCTGTTCTTCGAGCACCCTCATATTTCCCTTCCAAGTCATTAAAAATCAGCCTTTATTTGGGGGGTTGTTCTGGGGGTACCTATTTTGGTGTTGCTTATTATGTTTTTGTTTGAGATAGGGTCTCACTGTGTAGGCCAATATGGTTTGGTGGTGTGTTTTGTTTTGAGACAGTCTCACTATGTAGTCCTGGATGGTCTGGGACTCACTAAGTAGACCTTGAACTCCCAGAGATCCATCCGATGTCTGCTTCCAGGGTGCTGGGATTAAAGGTATGTGCCACCACACCTAGCTTATGCTTTGGTCTTTTGAGACAGGGTCTTGCTCTGAGACCCAGGCTGGCCTTAAATTCTCAGGCATCTGAGCTGGTCATAGGCTGTGCTGCTGTGCCAGCTCAAGTGTGTGGCATTGATTACTGTCTTCACATGGAAGCCAGCCTCTATGGATCTGCTGTGAGCATCGCATTGAGATCCACTTGGGCACTCTTCCCCATCTCAGGTGAAAGCTGCTTCTGGTCACTATGACAAAATACCTGAGAGGAACCGTGAGGTAAGGGAGGGATGATTTGTTTTGACCCACAGTTTCTAAAGTTTCGGTCTATTGTGTGGTAGAGGTCACAGGTAAAGCAGAGCAGCTCCTCTCAGGCAAACAAGAAACAGGGAGACAATGCCTGTGCTAGCAGACTCTCTCCTCTTATTCCATGGGGCCTCTAGTCTATCTAGGGGTTGTGATGTCCAAATTCTGAGCAGTTAATCCTCCTGGAAGCATAGACAAGCCCAGAGGTAGTTTAGATCTAGATGCTTCTTGATCCAATCCTACTGACAGCAAGATTAACCATCCACCTACTTTTGAAATATATTCATCTAGCCATTGATGAGTACAAGCCCCAAGATGCCACCACCAACCCATCCTTGATCCTGGCTGCAGCCCAGATGCCTGCCTACCAAGAGCTGGTGGAAGAGGCCATTGCCTACGGCAAGAAGCTGGGTGGGTGAGTATGGGTGATGAGAATTCTGTAGGTCCCACTCCTCAGATTGGCCATATTTCCCTCCCAATCCAACACTGTCTTTTGTTCATTGAGATGTGATTTGTATGGAGTAAATTGTGCTCACTGACTATGGCTCTGAGGCTTGCCAGTGTGAAGATCCCCTGTTGAGATGTAGAACACTGCCAGCCTTCCAGGTTCCTGTCTTTGACAGGCTCTGTAGCTCTGACTGCCATGCTTTGCTTTCTGGTTGTCATTACTTTCTTTGGTTTTTTTTGTTTGTTTGTTTGTTTTTGTTTTCTTTTATTTTTGGTACAGGGTCTCTACATAGCCATGGCTGTCCTGGAACACACTATGTAGATCAGGTTGGCCACCCAGAGCTCCACCTGCCTCTGCCTCCTGAGTGCTGAGATTAAAGGAATGCACCACCTTGCCCAGCTGTCATTACTTTTAGTAAATTGTGCATTGGTACAACTGTCACCATAATCTCTGATCCTCCTTCTTCTCCCTCCTTGCCCGTGTCCTCAGTTTCTTTCTTGTTTGTATAAGACAAGCTATCCCTGTGTTGCCAGCTGCTTTTAAGTATGCTTGCTCAGGCGCTAAGATAACATTGTGTGGTACCAATGTGCTGGCCTCTAATCTTTTATAATGTGTAGTCCTTTTTTTTTTTTTTTTTTTTTTTTTTTTGGTTTTTCGAGACAGGGTTTCTCTGTAGCTTTGGAGGCTGTCCTGGAACTCACTTTGTAGACCAGGCTGGCCTCGAACTCACAGAAATCCGCCTGCCTCTGCCTCCCGAATGCTGGGATTAAAGGCGTGCGCCACCAACGCCCGGCTATGTGTAGTCCTTTTTGATATAGTAATTGTAATATGTATGAGGCATGGTATGATGTTATACATTATACAGTGTGTGGTCAAATCAGGGTGATAGGCATCTTACTCTCCTTTTGGAGGTATCATTTCTTGGGGTTCCATAAAAATATTATAATGGGGGTGGTGGTGCACGTCTTTAATCCCAGCACTAGGGAGGCAGAGGTAGGCAGCTTTCTGTGAGCTTGAGGCCAGCATGGTCTACACAGTGAGTCCTAAAACAGCCAGGGCTGCATAGAGAAACCCTGTCACCAAAAACCAAAAAAAGAAAAAGTTCTGAAGATGATGGTGGTGTGATTCCCAACAATATAAGTTAACACTATTGAACTATAAACTTAAAATGGTCAAGATGGCATGCTTTTTGGGTGTTTCACTATTATATAGAGACCCTGTCTCAAACAAAGCAAAAACAAGTAGCATGTGCTCTCATGCCCAAGGTGGGGAGGCTGAAGGGAAAGAAGTTTTTGGCAAAAGAGTCAGAGTTGGTCTTATAGGTTCACCAAAGCCTTCAAAATTTCTAACACAACTTTCCCTGTGAATTTCAGGCCACAAGAGGAGCAGATTAAAAATGCTATTGATAAACTTTTTGTGCTGTTTGGAGCAGAAATACTAAAGAAGATTCCAGGCCGTGTATCCACAGAAGTAGATGCAAGGTAGGTGGGGATAGGGTAGGAAGGCAGTAGGTGTCCTGGTGGCATCAGTGGCTGAAGAGGTAGTTTGTTCTTGATATTCTCCACACTCATTCAGTGGTACAATGTACATAATATTGGAGACTAGACAATCTTGATTAATGGCTAACCTTGTGTCTTGTGTCTTTTATGAAAATATACTTTCACTAAGAGGTCTAGAAATTTGGTGATTTTTGTTTTTGTTTTATTTTTTGTTTTTTCGAGGTGGGGTATCTCTGTGGCTTTGGAGGCTATCCTGGAACTAACTCTTGTAGACCAGGCTGGTCTTGAACTCACAGAGATCCACCTGCCTCTGCTTCTAGAGTGCTGGGATTAAAGGCGTGCGCCACCACCGCCTGCAAAATTTGGTGATTTTGTTGTTAGGTTGTGTGTGTGTGTGTGTGTGTGTGTGTGTGTGTGTGTGTGTGTGTGTGTGTGTGTGTGTGTGTGTGTGTGTGTGTGTTTTCAAGATAGGGTCTCACTGTGTAACTCTTGCTGTCCTGGAATTCACTATATAGACCAGGCTGGCTTCCTTTAAACTCACAGAGATCAGCCTGCCTTTGTCTCCCCAGTGCTGGGATTAAAGGCCTGCGCATATATATACCTGGCAACTTACAGGGTTTCTCTGTGAAACAGTCTTGACTGTCCTGGAACTCATTCTGTAGACCAGGCTGGCTGTGAACTCACAGAGATTTGCAACATGAAAATTTCTTAAATGGGGCAGTGGTGGCATGTACTTTTAATCTCAGCACTCAGGAAAAGGTCAGGGATCTCTGAGTTTGAGACAAGCCTGCTCTACAAAGTGAGTTCCAGGACAGCCAAGGCTACACAAAGAAACCCTGTGTGGAAAAAATAACAAAATTTTATAAAGTTTTTATATGTATGAATATTGTGGGTTTTTTTGGGGTTTTTTTGTTTTTGTTTTTTTAATGTGTATGGGTGTTTTGTCTACATGTTAACCTGAAGAGGGTGTTGAATCCCCTGGAACTGGAAATATATTTGTGAGCTACCAAGTAAGTGCTGGGAATCAAACCCAGGTCCTTTTCTTAAGCACTGGGCCATTCCTCCAGCCTCTGGGTGTTTTGTTGTCTTTTTTAATGTTATTTAGAGACAGGGTCTCATGTAGCCCCAACTGACCTCAAACTTACTATGTAGTTGAGAATGACCTTGACTTTATATGGTCCTGCCCTTTCCTGGGTGCTGGGATTATGAGTCCACCACCATACTTAGTTTATGTGACACTGGGGATTTGGGCTTTGTGCATGATAAACAAGTACTCTACCAACTCAGCACAACTCTGACTCCCCTCCCCCCCCTTTTTTTTGTTTGGTTTGACTTTTTTGTTTGTTTTTGTTTTTGTTTTTTTCGAGACAGGGTTTCTCTGTATAGCTTTGGGAGCCTATCCTGCCATTCGCTCTGTAGACCAGGCTGGCCTCAAACTCACAGAGATCCACCTGCCTCTGCCTCCCCAGTGCTGGGATTAAAGGAGTGTGCCACCAATGCCCAGCTAGTTTGACTTTTTATCCATTTATTTTTCAGACCAAAATCTCTTTCAAAGATTTATTTTTATTTTATGTGTATGAGTGTTTTCTTGGATGTATGTATACTACATATGTGCCTGGTGCCTGTGGAGGCCAGAAGAGGGCATCAGATTCTCTGGAACTGAAGTTTAACAAGCTGCTATATTGGTTCTGGGAACCAAACCTGGGTCCTCTGCAAGAGCAGCAAGTGCTCTTAGCCACTGAGCCTGTCTTTCCAACCTGAAGGCAGTGTCACTTGTAGCACAGGCTGACCTTGAACTACTGATTCTCCTATCTCAGTCTCCTGAGTGCTGGTTACAAGGTTTGGCTACCAGTCCTGCTTCTGAAATTGTATCTCATGTTGCAGTGAGTCTAAAGTAGGAGGTGAGAAGGGTTTGCCCAATGAGCCACTCAGCTACAGAATACCCTGTTTCTGACATGCTTCTTTGGTGGATGTCCTGTGTGATCTGAGTACCTGGAGTAATGACTTTTACAGGCTTTCCTTTGATAAGGATGCAATGGTAGCCCGAGCCAAGCGTCTCATTGAGCTTTACAAAGAAGCTGGGATCAGCAAGGACAGAATTCTCATCAAGTTGTCCTCAACCTGGGAGGGAATTCAGGCTGGAAAGTAAGTATTCCCTACATAGAGGCAGCTTCTGATTCTGATTCTGTCCCTGAGCAGCCGGCACTAGTTTCTGGGGTTTGAAAGTCAGAGGCTTTTGACACACACGCATGCCATCTTTGCTCCAGGGTTAGCTCATTGCTAGTTAAGAAGGAATGCCTTTTGTCTCTCAGTCTCCTTCTGGTACAGTGAGGCCAAAACTTACATAAGTTTTAAAGAAACTTATCATCATACAAATAGCATGCTCTAAGTGGAAGAGAATGCAAAATGGTAAAAAACAGTCACACTCTTCTATGCTGCCTCCTCTAGAAGTAGTCATTCTATTCTAGGTAGGACCTGGGCAGCAGAGAGTCCTTTCTGCCCATATTTACTTTTTTCTCCACCTAGAACCACTGATTTTTATTCTGGATTTGCCAATTCTGGTCATCTCATATAAGTAGAGGCAGATCATATGTGAACTATTGTGTCTGACTTATTCAACATATTCTAGTGTCTATGCCTTGTTTCCTGACTGAACTTGCTTCCATTGGTAGGTGGATCTGTCTTTGGTTTTTGTCTTTTGTTGGGCATTGGGGTCTGTTACCACTTTGAGGCTGTTGAGAATAATGGTGTGAACATACATTTTGGTATGGACCTGGGTTTTTCTTTCTCGTGGTCAGTTACAAAGAAGCAGGCTTACTGGGTCACATAGTCAGGAGAGACTCTCTCCCATTTGGCTGAGCCAGCATGGTTTAAAGTGCACTCGTGTTTGGACACCCTCTGAAGCTGGCCCCTGGGAAGGGAACTGTGGCTGTAGCAGCCTAAGCATGGGCTTGCCTCTCAGGCCTCGATCACGTGGTGGTGATGGAGTGCTGCCCAGGAGTGAGTATTGGGCCAAGGGGCTTCTCAGGAGAGAGACTGGGCTTGCTGCAGGGCAGGGTAGCTCCAGGAAGAATGAGGTCCTAATCACCCTTGGTAACGACCCACTGCTTCTAGCCTAAGAGTAGAACCCAGAGAGCTCTGATGAGGGACTCCCATTGCAGTGCTGGAGCAGATGTGGACACTCAGGGCCTTTGTCTATATGCAGTGTGGCTATGATGGAGGAAGTCCTGGTCACTCCTTGTCCATACCCACCCTGCTGAGTCTCAAGCTTGTTCCTGCCCCTGCTCTTAAGAAACTGAAGAGTCTTGGGAGCAACGGGTGCCAGAGCTCAGCCTGAGGCTGCACTCAGCAGCACTCCTGCCCATCTTGTCCACAGGGAGCTGGAGGAGCAGCATGGCATCCATTGCAACATGACGCTGCTTTTCTCCTTTGCCCAGGCTGTGGCCTGTGCCGAGGCGGGTGTGACGCTCATCTCTCCCTTTGTGGGGCGGATCCTTGACTGGCATGTGGCAAACACAGACAAGAAGTCCTATGAACCCCAGGAGGACCCTGGTGAGCTACCTTTGAGATCACGGGAAAGAGGGAACTACTGTGTTGACTAGTAGGACTGGAGGACCAGGGCAGGGTGGGATCAGACAGCAGCTCTGGGCACCTCTAGGACCATCCTAGAACATGCCTGTATTTCCTCCAGGCGTAAAGAGTGTCACCAAAATCTACAACTACTACAAGAAGTTTGACTACAAAACCATTGTCATGGGCGCCTCCTTCCGTAACATTGGTGAGATCAAAGCGCTGGCAGGCTGCGATTTCCTCACCATCTCACCCAAGCTCCTGGGGGAGCTGCTCAAGGATAATACCAAGCTGGCACCTGTGCTTTCCGTCAAAGCGGGTAAGGCCAAGGGGCCCAGTAAGGACCTCTCTGTGGGCGGAGCTAAGGCCTAACCCTGATGGGAGAAACTCAGCCTAAGCTGAGGGACAGTTATGAGTCAAAGGGTAAGGCAGGCATGGAGAGCTGTGGTATCCTCCAGCCCAGACCAGTGACTTGGAGAAGATACATCTGGACGAGAAGGCCTTCCGTTGGCTGCACAATGAGGACCAAATGGCTGTGGAGAAGCTCTCCGATGGGATCCGAAAGTTTGCTGCTGATGCCATAAAGTTAGAGCGGATGCTCACGGTAAGTTTGTGTGGGCAGCTTTGGGCCTTTTCTCCTTCATCCAGGGGCAAAGTTGGTGCAGAGTTGAAACTTACTGCAGGAGCCTGGCATGGTAGCACAAACCTATAGTTCCATCTTTCTGGAGAATGAGGCAAGAGGATCACAGATTCAATAACCTCGGCAGGGAATGCTAGTACATGCCTTTAATCCACGCACTTAAGAGACAAAAGACTATCTCAAGAAACAAAACTAGATCCAGGTAGTGGTGGCACATGCCTTTAATCCTAGCACTCTGAAGTCAGATGCAGGCAGAGTTCCAGGACAGCCAGGGCTATACAGAGAAACTTAGGAAAAAAAAGCTATGTTTGTATGCTTTTTGTTGTTGTTGTTGTTGTTTCCCCCCTTAGGGGACCATAGGTCCCAGCTAGTTCTGAAGCCATACTGGGACCTTGGTGGGTCTTGTCTGGGGCCTTCCCTGCAGAGTAAGGGGCTGGCAAAATAAGGGACTAACATGATTACCTCTGGTCATTTCCAGGAACGAATGTTCAGCGCTGAGAATGGAAAGTAGCACAGCCTCGAGGCTGGACCCCAGACCTGCACTGCCTTTGAGCTGGCTCCATTGCACATGGCTTGTGATGAATCTTGCATTTTTTAGTGATTGGAGAAGGGATGGATCATAGGCTTCTGATTTTATGTGAAATTTTGTCTAATTCATTAAAGCAGTCGCTTTTCCTATGTTGTTTCATTTCACTGCTTTGTCACCATCCACCTAAGTACCACTCACCCCAATATTAGCTGTGATTGAGGTTGAGGCTTGGGTATGAATCCAGGCAATTGTGGCCCTCACCCTCATCTTGTAAAGCCCCACTGGACCACAACTGGGACATGAGATAGCAATGGTCTTTGACTTTTGGTGGTGAGACTATCCAATAGCTCCCTCTGAACCTGGTGTCCCTGTCCCCTGCCTAGTCTTAGAGGGTGCACTAGCAGCTTGGAAGACAAGTGGTGGGCTCTACTGAGGGCAGGGCAACTGCTGAACATAGTGCCCCAGAGCCAGGCCTGCCCACTGCCCAAGAGAGTAAGTCCAGCAGTTTATTTCTCCCATCTACATGCTCTGTCTGGTTTGGTAGCCAGGTTCTAAAGGACAGTGGCACCACCTTATGGGGACAGCATAGTATATGACACCAGCTTTGAAAGGGCATGGAAATACATGCCTATAATCTCAGTACCTGTAGGGCAGCAACCAGACTGCCCACATATGAGGGCATCCTGATTTACTTAGTGAGTTCTGGGTCTACAAAGAAACCCTATCTTTGCCAGGCGGTGGTGGCGCACGCCTTTAATCCCAACACTCAGGAGGCAGAGGCAGGCGAATCTCTGTGAGTTCGAGGCCAGGCTGGACCCACAGCCTCCAAAACGATACAGAGAAACCCTGTCTCGTAAAAACAAAAAACAAAAAACAAACAAAAAAAAAGAAACCCTATCTTTGCCGTGCATTGGTGGCACACACCTTTAATCCCAGCACTCAGAAGGCAGACACAGGGGATCTCTGTGAGTTCCAGGACAGCCTCCAAAACAATACAGAGAAACCTTGTCTAGAAAAAACAAAACAACAAAAAAAGAAACCCTATCTTTAAAATGAAAGCCAGGCAACAGTGGCCCATGCTTTTAATCCTAGCACTCGAGGCAGAGGCAGGTGGAAGCTCTGGTGAAAAAGACCCCCATGGGGGGTGGGGGAAGACGGCTCAGTGGTTGAGAGCACTGGCTGTTCTTCCAGAGGACTGGCCACGTTCAGCACCCACATGACAGCTCACAAGTGTCTGTAACTCCAGTTCCAGGGGATCTGACACCTTTAATACAGAGCAACTTCTCAGGCCCATTTCCCTAAATTCCCACCATAGATTGTTCTAGAGCTAAGTACCTACCTGGGCAGTCGAGCCCTATCCTGGATGGAGAAGTGGGGAGCAGCTTCTGCAATCTATCACAGCTAGGCTCACACTTTCCCTGATGAAAACCCACAAATATTCTATCACTTCCAGTCAGGATGACAGCCTGCGGGAGCAATGCTGCTGGAGGCTGACCTGCTTCAGCATACAGGCAGAGCCTTGTGCCCATACCACCCAATCTTCACCCATTGGACTAGCAATAGTGGGTCCTGAAAGGACAGCAGGGTTTTGAGTCTTTCCAACCTGGGAACTCCAGGGATACTAGCCAGGCATTATGTATGCTGTAAGGACCTCTTCGTTTTTTCAGACAGGGTGTCTGTACATAGTCTGGCTGTCAAGTAACTTACTATGTAGATCAGGCTACTTCTGGCTGGTATTAAAGGTGTGTACCACCACATACAGCTTTGTGTCAGAATTTATGGCCAAATGTTTGACTGGTGATATTCCATTGTAAAGAAACCACTAGCTGAGTGTGGTGACGAACACCTTTAATCCCAGGCCTCAAGGTTTCATTTCTCTTGAGTAATTATAAATGACTTTGTGAACATAACATGAGCTTAGCTGCCACTTTTTTTTTTTTTTTTTTTTTGGTTTTTTTGAAACAGGGTTTCTCTGTGGCTTTGGAGGCTGTCCTGGAACTAGCTCTTGTAGACTAGGCTGGTCTCCAACTCAAAGAGATCCGCCTGCCTCTGCCTCCCGAGTGCAGGGTTTTTGTCTTTCTTAAGATTATTAATTATATATATGTGTATACATATATATACATACACATATATATACAGAATAAAGAAAGAAAAAGGGAGACGGGGAGGGGGAGGGAGAGGGAGATAGAGAGGGAGAAAGAGGGCTGGAGAGATGGCTCAGAGGTTAAGAGCACTGACTGCTCTTCCAGAGGTCCTGAGTTCAATTCCCAGCAACCACATGGTGGCTTACAACCATCTACAATTCAATCTGGCGCCCTCTTCTGGTAGAACACTGTATATGTAAATAAATCTTTAAAAAGGAGAGAAAGAGAATGAAGTTCATGTAGAGCCAGCCAATCAGATTTTTAAGGTTTTGTCCAGGAGTATCCATCATTACATAGTCATAGTGTACATGGCAGACAGGAGCAGTGCAAGCCAGGGAGGAACCCAGGGACAGGTGGGCTCTTCTGCTTCCTGCTTCCTTCTTCCACTTGGTTCTAGACTTCCCTCATAAAGGTTATTAACCACCAAAAGGTATTTCTCCAGGTCTCTGGCACTAGTGCTATTCTAAAGCTTGGGATGTGCAAAAGTCAAGTGGAGATGGAAGCTGGGAGGTCCAAGTTACTTGGAAGGTTCTATTCCAGGGCTGGACAACTGCTCACTGGAGGCTACAGTCCAGGCCAGGTGCCCCAGGATGGACAGCAAACAAGCATGTCCACATAGCCATATAAGGTCCTCAGCAGAAGTCTGTCCAGGGTCTGGGAGACAGGATTCATGGCTATTCCTACTCCATAGAACCCAAGCCCCGAGCCTATCTGTAGCCTTTCCTTCCAGGAGTAGATGAAATAAATACCTGGGCTGAGGCTTCTGTAAGCCAGGGGCCATTGGACAGACTGTCGGATAACAGCAGCCTAAGGATCTCAAAGTGTGGCACTAATATTTTTTCCATGCTGTATGAGTCAGGGTAACATCACTGTGTCCATTCCAAGGACCACGCCAGGCTGAGCTGGGGCCTCTATTGCATTAAAAACCACAGGCTGCCGGGTGTTGGTGGCGCACGCCTTTAATCCCAGCACTTGGGAGGCAGAGGCAGGCGGATCTCTGTGAGTTTGAGACCAGCCTGGGCTACAAAAGCTAGTTTCAAGACAGCCTTCAAAGCCACAGAGAAATTCTGTCTCAAACCCCCCCAAACAAAACAAACAAAAAAACATAGGCCAGCAAGGGCAGATTTCTTCAGCAAGAATGCTGCCTGCTTAGGCCTTTGGCAAGATGAATTCAGAGCAAGCACCAGTCAGTCAGTCAGTCCCTTCCACATGGTTCTTACCAACAGCTAAAGGGATGGAAATAGCCAAAAGGCCATGGAAGAGCAACACCGGACCCTAAGATCCCACAGTAGACTGTCTCCCAAGGACGATTCTTCTTGGAATGTACAATTTGCAGTTCTCAGGGACTGCCTGACCAGCCAAGATGTTCCACACTATGTGCTGGAAATGGAAGGAGGGGGTTCAGTCTACATTAGAAGTGATATTCTACAAGTCTTAACTCCTGGAAGCCTCCAGCATTCCACAAGGTCCACATGGAGGCTTGAGGGCCCCGTAAGTAAGGACCAACAGAAGAAGCCACAATGACTTAAGCTGTTCTCTAGGCCACCAGGATCAGGGACAGCATCCAAGTTACTTCCTGTAGGATGAACACAGGGTCCAGACTCAGTACCAACAGGCAGAGGATCGCAGACAAAACTGCCCAGCAGAGGGAGCCAGTCACAAACCAGAATCCACCCAAACCCCTCCTCAGGAGCCTCACCGGTTGCCACAGAGGAAGAGCAGGTTCTGGACAGCAGGCACAGTGGAGTTTGCATTCTGGCCAGTGACCAGGTGGCGGTCCAGCACCACATGCACAGCGTCGGGCTCACTGGCTAAGACAGAAAGCACAAGCCTTAGGCCCACAAGGCCTAGACCCAGTCCCTGTCCCACCCACTGAGGAGCAATGAACACCAGGGGTTAGTAGGAAAGCCTGTCTAGGTGAACCATTCACCACAGGGACATGTATATGCAGGACCTAAGACACCAACCCAAGACACAGCAGGTAGCCCCACAAATCTAAGTGTAGGGCACCAACTTGAGCTCACCACTGAAGCCAGCACCAGAGTCCTTCACAAAGTCCTCAACAACCAGCGGCAGGCGGGCAAAGTCAGGTGCCCTGATGAGCTCGTACACAGAAGGCTGAAAGGGCAGGGCCTGAGTTAGACCAGCTAGTGACTCTACCCTGCCCAATGCCTTACTGTTCCCAAGACCAACCCCAAGGATCAGGCCGGTCAAATCAAAGCAGGAGCCTCAGCTACCACCTGGGAAGGATGAGCAAAGGCAAAACTCAGTCATCTTTTGAAGACTAAGCCACTATAGCTTAATGTGCCTTGCTCCCTCAGCATCAAGGCATAGGTGTGACCAAAATGAGATGGACTGGTATTCTCTGGAAGGAGTCTCTCCCTTTGTGGATTCCATGATGTTCACATGAGGGGCTGAGGCTCACCCCAGAGGGTCCCAGGCTCCGCTTGACCTCTTACACATCACGTGGACAAGGAGAGAACTGCTCTAGCAGTATGGGGACTAGCAGGTCACAGTGCCTGTAGGAATCTCTTCCTGGTTCAAGTAGGGGTGAGAAGATAGGATGGAACGGGAACTGGCTTGTCCATGAAAATACTCACCCCTGTCAGACTATAGCCTTGGAACACCCAGGACCTGTCTTCATTGGTAGCACAGCACAGGGCAGCAACACCATGGCCAATGGCACAAATGGGTTCTAAAAGCAGCATGGTACTCTGAGACCCTGGATGCTATCCTGGGTAGAGTCCCCTCCCAAGTGTCCCCTCCCGAAAGGTGGATGCTTCAAGACTAGAGTTTACTTGGAGCCCATGCTGCCTTGGTTTTAAGACATGTGCAAGCATACAGAACTCCCAGTCCATGTATCAGCCACTGCTTGCTTCAAACTGCAGAGAAGCCACTGTGCATCTGGGGTTAGTACTCCCAGGGGGTATCCTGCTCTGCAATAGGGCAACCCTGCCTCCTCCCCAAAGGCAACTTAATGGCCAGTGTATTCCCCTGGCTGAGGCAGCTAGGAACAATTGCTTCTTGTCTCAGTCCAGAAAGCCAGCTCTCATCAACAAAGGACACGGCATGGAGCCTGTCTGCATTCTAGTCTCTGGTGAGCATCCTGCCCCAGCCTACAGATGTGCTTATCATAACAGATGTTGCTGATTCCCACCAGGAATCCAGGCAGCATCCTGATTAACCTACCAAGGAAAGGGCTAAGAGGCCACAGTCATCGGCCCTCTCCTGGCCTTCAGAGGCTCACAGTGCAGAGACTAACAGCACACACATGAGGTTTAGTGAGATCACTCTTGTGCACATGGGCACAGAGCAAATTTACCTGTGTGCAGGTCAGAGCCACTGCAGCTCTCCAGTCCCATCTGATGGGCTGATGAAATCACCAAGCATGCCCAGTCCTGAATCCTAAACCCTGTACTCAATACCCACTCCATATCTGCCTTCCAGACCTAGTCTCTAGCTTCCTGACACCCACTGTTTGGTCATTCCCTCCTACTCCCCACCCAAGCATCTGCTTGCTAGTCTGTTCATCAGTTTCTTGTCACCCACTGCTCTCCGAGCGGAAGTGCTGCAGTATCCGAGCCAGGGACCCACTGCTGGCAAGGTCAGCCAGGGCGCCAGGACAGCTGGGAATCAGAAGAGCATGGTACCGGGCACCTAGGGGGAAGCCACAGGTCAAATAAGGGCCTGGCCATATACATAGGCACTCCACAGGGACCCACTAGCTATGTTACCACTTGTCACTTTCCCAACCTACCATCTATGGACTCAAGCTTAGCGGGGCTGGCATAAGCCTTGAGGCGGAAGTCTTGTACCCAACGTGCATTGTTCTCAGTCACATCCACAAAGTCCATGGCCTTTCCCTATAGAAACAGAGCCTAGGTGAGGGGTCAGCAGCAGCTTCTTCCCCCACATCTGAAAATCAGATTTCAAAACACCCCTTGGGGCACAAACACCCGCCCAGACAGTCACTTTCACTGGCTGGATCAGGCAGGGAGCTTCCAGTGGCTAGAGAGAGAGAAAAATCAAGTACAAGGTGGTCCCAGAGAACCAAGGCACCAGTGTACAGTAACCCAGTACAACACAATGCTGAGGTCTTAGCACAGGATCACTATACCCACCGTCCCCAGTCTCCCGATCATAAAGTAGCAACAACTGAGCCAGGTGGTTGTGGCGTACGCCTTTAATCCCAGCACTTGGGAGGCAGAGGCAGGTGGATCTCTGTGAGTTCGAGGCCAGCCTGGTCTACAAGAGCTAGTTCCAGGACAGCCTCCAAAGCCACAGAGAAACCCTGTCTCGGAAAAAAAAAAAGGAGCAACAACTGTCCCACTCACATGATCACATTATGACTTCAAAACATGCAAATACACAATACACATTTGCTGTGACCCATTCATATCTGATGTTCCCAGGACCACAATGCAAGAATCAAGAATCTGTCCTGTAACATCTCTCTCTCTTTTTTTTTTTTTTTTTGGTTTTTACGAGAGAGGGTTTCTCTGTATTGTTTTGAAGGCTGTCGGTCCAGCCCGGCCCCGAACTCACAGAGATCCGCCTGCCTCTGCCTCCCGAGTGCTGGGATTAAAGGCGTGCGCCACCACCGCCCGGTGTCCTGTAACATCTCTGCACAGCCACCTCACTTCCTGTTTCTGCCCAGCCATCTTACTTTTTGTTTCCACCCAGCCACTTCACTTCCTGTCTGTCTGTACAGACCTCCTGACCTTTATGGTTAGCTAGTGGCAAGCTCCATCTTCTGATTTTCAGACAAGCTTTATTTGTACAAGCAAGATACCACCACACTCTCCTGTTAGGAGCATCTGTACAGGACCTGCATGCACACTAGGATCAAGTCTTACCTTTCACTTATAGGCCTGCGAAAGTGCAGGTCACAATGAAAAAAGCTCCCTTAACACAGGCAGTTATAGTCCAGGGAGTTGGGACGCTGACTTAAGGATCCCACCAAGTTTGATTGTAGATCCTCTTACCTGGAGGTAGCTCCCTCCTGGCCCTGTCAGCTACAGAGGGCTCTCTATACTCTCCTAGCCTCACCCAAAAAAGGAGAGGATCTCAGGGGTTCGCTGGAGAAGAGTGACTGTACTCACCCCAGGGGTGGCCACCTGCAGGTTGAAGGCGGCACTGGCCAGGGTGAAGCAGTGGGAGAAAGACGCGGCTGACACTCCTGCAAAAGAGGGTTTCAAAAAGGCAAAGGCTGGGCTGACACTCCCGCAAGACAGGGTTTCAAAAAGGCAAAGGCTGGGCTGACACTCCCGCAAGACAGGGTTTCAAAAAGGCTGGCAGGGCCAGCTGGCCCGTCACTACTCCTTGGAGACGGCCTCAACGCTCCTGGGGACTGTCCTGTTCCTAGAAGCAGCCTTAGGAGCACTCCATTTCACCCACCCCAGGGTCTACACCCAGGGGGCAGGACAGCAGCATTTCAGGTTCAGAAATATGTAACTGAGATGCCCACAGCTGGTCTCTGACTCAGCCAGTTTTGGCCCCTGGCCCGAGGAAGATCTGCAGGTGCTCCATTGGTTCTGCAGTCTCCCAGAATAGGCCCCCTGCTGACCTAATACCTCTGTCTTCAGGCCCCAGTTCACTTTAACTGTCTACCAACAGCCCTATACCCTTGGCTGAATCCACCCTTTCCCACTACAGGTGCTTCCGAAGGCAAACATTTGGGTCATCCCCTACAGACCCACAGTATCCAAGGTCTCCACGGCCTGGGGAGAGCAACAGTGAACATGTCATAGAAGTAAAAGCAGCAGGACAGCATGGTGTTTGGGGCACTTCCCACACCCGGGACACCTAGAAGGTCCCATCATCCTAAGAGTGTAAGATTGTGCCCCCACCATGCTATTCACAGCACTCTTCTGATCACCAAGAATACTTCAAGGGGAGGGAAAAGGAGAGGGACCTGAAATTGACATGTGAAGCAACCTTGTTTCTAATTTAAATTTACAAATAAAAATTAAAAACAAAAACAGAATACTTCAAAAAGGAACAAAGCTTGCCTAGCTCATTTGACTCCAGACCCCGGGTGAGCACGCCTTTAATACCAGCACCTGGGAGGCAGAAGCAGGTAGATCTCTGAGCTGGGGGACAGCCTGGTCTACAGAGTGAGTTCCAGGGCAGCCACACACACACACACACACACACACACACACACACACACACACACACACACACACACCTGTCTCAAAAAAAAAACAAGATTAAAGACGGTTTATGGGTACAACCTAGCCTCCCTCAGCTAGGAGCAGAGACTCACATCACATTCTGCAGTGCAGTGGAGTGTGCTGGTTTAATCTAAGGGCTTTAGCTTCATCATTCCTTCCCTCTCTGTCTCTCTGTCTTTTGCATGCTTTTTTTTTTCTTTTTTCTTCAAGACAGGGTTTTTCTGTGTAGCCCTGGCTGTGCTGGAACTAGTTCTGGCCTTGAACTCACAAATATGCGCCTGCCTCTGTTTCCTGAGTGCTGGGATGGAAGCCATGGGCCACCACTACCCAGCCTTTCCTTGTCTTTTTGAGACAGCATCTCATGTGGCCATTAATCTCTTTATCCTCCTGCCTCCAACTCCTACACTAGGCTTTTGGTTTGTGGGTTTTGTTTTGGTTTAGTTTAGTTTTTGAGTCAGGATCTCACTATGTAGCCCTGATGGCCTGGAACTTACTATATGAGTTCCAGACTGGTCTCAAACTCCCAGAGATCCATCTGCCTCTGCCTCCTGTGTGCTGGGAATAAAGACACTCACCAATAGGCCCAGCTTCTTTACTTTCATGACTTAATACATTTTCAGTGACCGACCCCATACTCTCTAGTAAGGCCTACCTAAAAGCAGGTGTAGATTCTCCCAACTCTCCCAGGGCGGAGCAGTACCCTCAGGCCCCTCCCATCACCACCTGGGACGCTTCTCTGGAACCCAGGGGTTCAACAGTCCAAGAGGCCGTGGTACCCTCACGCTCATGCTTGCTTGAGATGCTATATACGGTTCGGTTCGAGAGGGAAACCCCCCAGTGACTATCTTGGGCCAGACAGTTCCCTAAAGACCCGTGAAGTAATCATCTGTCCAGCGTCCCAGACACACACGAGCAGTCAGAACCCACGACCAACAGATCCGCTTCTGTGTGCGGGTCCTTTCTGTGCCGCTCTTTCAAGCAATCCCTTTCAGGATCGCTTCCTGGAGGCGCGTGAAGGCAGGCCCAGGATCAGGGACAGAGAGGCAGGAATGGTGGACAGAGTGCCGAGCCCCTGTGGCTGACCTGGGGACAGGGTCATCTCTACAGTTGCTGGCCACCCTGCCTGCTGGCTCAGACAACACTGCCTGCCCCGGGGAAACAAGTGCAGGGTGCCAGGATCCCAACCCCTCAGGTACAAACGTTGACCTGGAGTCAGAAAGGCAGGTCACTGCGCCACACAGCCGCCCTGCGCGCCTCACCTTCGGAAGCGCCGCTGGCCACCAGCAGACAGGCAGGCCTGTTGGGCAGCCGCTCCGACGCCATGGCTGCAGACCCGCCTGATGCTACCGGCTGATGCTAGTGCACTAGGGGCGGGGTGAAGTGGGGCGGGGCTCGCCTGCCGCGGGAGTGGTATGCGCGTGCGCGAGGCTCCGAGGGCGGGGCTCGCCTGCAGGATGTGCCGGGTTGGGGGGCGGAACTGGCCTGCAGTTGGGGGCAGCATGCGCGTGCGCAAGGGCTGGTGGACGGGGCTGCATACGCTTCGGGTAGTGACCCGATTGCCGGCGGTTGGGAGAGACCTGTGACCCTCAGTTGAGCGCAGCGGGCTGGGCCGACGTTACTCAGGGTCTGAGTTGGCCACAGGGCTACCGCGCCTTGGGCATCTGCCCGCAAGTTGAACCCGGTTATACTGTCTGGGAGCGAAGGCCGGTCAGGCCGACTGGATGAGGGGCACCGGAGGTGGGTCGCGTGTGGGCGGGTCTTCTTCCGCGTGTTTGGGAAATTCCAACAAACCACTGGGTCCTTGGACTTTGAATGAACCTGGGGAGATTGTAAAGTCACTTCCTGAACTGTGGACGCCTCCGGGGCTTTATGTTGAGTTTCCTGGGGAGGCCAACCTGTATCTAAAGCGATTGTTCCTTATGTTGTACCGCATCAGTCTGGGCTTCCTAGTGGAGCCTAGGAAAAGGAGCCTAGAGCCCAGGGTCCTATGCTGTCTGGGTGGTGAAGTTTGAGGATTCACGGGCCAGAAGTCAGACCCCAAGCTGGACCTAGCCACGAGGTAAACCTTGTGGATCTGTGGACTGCCCCACCGCTAAAAACCCACCTGCTGACATAAAGCCCGTGAAGGGGGCAGCTTGCACGTGGCCAAAGGTTCACATACTCAAGCTCACCTTTGTGCTGCCCCCAAAGCAGTCTTAATGGCAGAGCCAGCAGTCGGCTTGAGTCTTGCGGAGGAAAGGATTTAATTCAACTCCCAGGTGTCAGAAGTAAGTTTTGGGTGGTAAATAAAGACACCACCATTCCAACTGAAGTGTCTGGACGGGGCAAATTTTACTCTTGACCAGGAGAGTGTGCTCGAGGAAAGAGTGAACACACCAAGGCAGGAAGTGCCTTTGGTTTCCATTCTAACTCAAGCGGTGGCTGTGTCTTTTCCCTTTGGCTGGGGTCCCACCTCACAGTATTATTCAATTGGCTGGTCTAAAAAGAACCACAAGGCCGGGCGTTGGTGGCGCACGCCTTTAATCCCAGCACTCGGGAGGCAGAGGCAGGTTGATCTCTGTGAGTTCTAGGCCAGCCTGGTCTTCAAGAGCTAGTTCCAGAACAGCCTGCCTCCAAAGCCACAGAGAAACCCTGTCTCGAAAAACCAAAAAACAAACAAACAAACACACAGGAAATGGAGGAAGGCAAAAGGAAAGGGTCCCTGACTGAAGGAGAACCACCACTTCCAGGCCATCAAATTCCTAGAACAGCTGGGGCTGTTACATAGAGAAACCCTGTCTTGAAAAAAAAATTGAATATTTCATCCTAAACACACATTTTATAGTATTTGATAGAAAAGAATAGTATTTGATATTTCTTACAGGTTGCAATGCTGAGAAGTCAGAGCGGGAACTGGAGTAGAGGCTGTGAAGGAACACTGCTTACTGGCTTTTTTAGCTGCTTTTCTTACACCTGGCCAGAAAAAGACATCTCACACATTATGCTAATCCTCTCTCTCCAATCAATGAGCAATCAAGAGATGCCCCCCAGACATGCCCACAGGCCAATCCATACAAGCAATTCCTCAACTGAGGCTCCCTCTTCTGAGGTGTGTCAGGTTGACAGCTGAAGCTAACTGACACTTCAATGTCTACTCATACCCCCAGCTTGCCTCCTTGAACTCGGGACTTGTTAAACCATCATCTGTTTCTAAGTGAGAGATGAAGGAGCAAGCGGAGGCTCCAACCCTGACAGCAGCAGCAAGGCTGTTGAGGGTGCCCAAGGGTGATGGTCTGTACCATGCCTGACAGATGATTCAGCATGGCTAGGAGGAAACATTCCTAAGTAATTCTATGACCTGTGTCCAGAGTGGCATGTTTGTGAGTGAGCAGAGTGTCTGGTTTCCAGAAGCGCCTGTGAGAATGTGGAATCAGCATTCAGGCTTAAATAGGCAGATGAAACGGGAGCAGTGCTTGGCCAGGAGCGGTGCTCTGGATCTGACTTTCCTAGACCATCCTCCTTTTGTCTCCTGTGATCAGTGGGAAGGATTTGCAGTCCTAACACTTTGCCTGGGGTCAGGCCCTAATGTGCTGAGCAATGTCCCAGATCCTATGTGCTTAGGTAGGTATACTGGTACATTTGCCCCCAGGGCCTTCCTGCTACAGTAACCAGGCCCTGCCCCTCCACCCATTAGCATCCTTCAGGGCTGACATCTGAGCCTGGACACCTAACAAGATCAGGGCTGCACTGGGGAGTAATGGACAGGTTTTGTCACTTGAGATAGAGCACTGGAGCCTCCAGGGTGTCTTTGGACAAGACCATGACCCCATCATGAGGGAGGATCAGTGCCCCATCCATCAGCAAGTGCCCCCATGTGGTGAAGGTAGTGGAGGCTTGAGGACTACATATATAGGGTTTGTTTGTGTGTAGAACTGAGCCATAGGAGCTCTTGATATTGGCGGCAAGTTGGGCATCAAGAAAGAGGCACTCCTTTACCTGGCACTCAGGAGGCAGAGTCAGGTGGATCTCTTTTGAGGCCAACCTGGTCTACATAGAAGTTCCAGGACATTCAGAGCTATGTAGTGAGACCCTATCTTAGAAAAAAAAAAAAAGCCATGCGTTTCTCATATCGAGAACCTGTTTCTGCTGGAATGAAAGGGTAGGTGAGAAGTCCTGAGAGACTGCTGGACTGACCTGTGCTGCAAGTCCTGCCTCCTGTCACTCCTGCCCCTGGCCTTTTCCTGGCCTCCGCACGCCTGAGAGCTCTTTTCTATCAACCTCCCAACTATCTCTAAGCCTGGGGCACCAGCTGCAGCATCTGCTAAGTACTGCCCTTGGGAGAACACCCTTACATGGGTATTGCCCTGAGTACCCCTCTGTTAGTTCAGGTGGCCATCTATGCCTTGAAATGAGGACTAAGTGTTTGGAGGGACAAAGTTCTCTTGGGATTGAGGGACAATCCTTACCATGTAAACACTCTTCAGGGTGGAGGGTGGGGAGCTACCTAGAGTTAAGAGGTAGCCTTCAAGACACAGATGAAGCTGGGTGATAGTGGTGCACGCCTTTAATCCCAGCACTTAGGAGGCAGAGGTAGGATCTATGAATTTGAGGCCAGCCTGGTCTACAGAGCAAGTTCCAGGACAGCCAGGGCTACACAGAGAAACCCTGTCTCAAAAACTAAAGACCCAGATGAAACCCTTTTCCCAATAGGACTCAGGTGAGGCCCTCCCGGGCCATGTCTGTAGCCTCCAAGGTAAGTCATGCAAAGCTATACAAAGCGAGCAGCACACAGCCAGTGTCAGCCTTGTTGTCAGGTATGGAGTTGTGAAGGCTCCTTCACCTAAGGTGGGTCTCTGCAGTATTGGTGAGACTGGCTAAGGCAGCTGGCTGCCCAGAGGGTGTCTAGCCTGTGGGTCAGTGATGATTTTGTGTCGCTAAGTAGGATGATGTGGCCTAGAGGGGGTCCCTGCAAGTAACAAGGAAGGGGTAGCAGAGGACAGGTCTTTTCTCAGACACCCGGAGACCCATGGGGCTGCAGTGGGCAGGGAAGAAACTTAGTATAGTTGTGCATCCCTCTCATTGAGGAGCTAATCCAGCCTGGAGACATGAGCCACCTCATCTGCCCTCTGAGGATTTGACTGCGTGTGTCCTCTTCCCTTCTTGGAATTGTTAGGCAAACAAATAAAATCAGTCACTGTGAAACAGCAAAGAAGATTCTGTTCTTGGCCAAAGAGAAACTTGAATAGAGCTCAAATCCTCTTCTCAGCCGTGGCAGCTGGAAGTCATAGATGTGACCCGGAAAGTGTTGGGAGTGTTGGGTACCTAAGTGTGGGTAGAGACGCCTCTCCCTATCCTGCTGGTCTCCCTCCTCGCTCGTAGCCCAGACTGAGTACTAGGTTTGGGATCACTGGTGAGAATTTTCTAATAATTGGGTGCTTTTAGCCAGTTGTTGGTGGCCCATGCCTTTAATCCCTGCACTCGGGAGGCAAAGGCAGGCAGATCTCTGTGAGTTCGAGGCCAGCCTGGTCTATAGAGCAAGTTCCAGGACAGCCTCCAAAGCCACAGAGAAACCCTGTCTCGGAAAAAAAACAAAAAATAAAAATAAAAAAAAGAATTGGGTGCTCTTCTCTGACACTTTTCCAGCATTGTCATAGTTCCTATCATGTGTGGTGGCATTAAAGGGCAGGGCCTTTACTGAGGATATGCAGAGCAATTAGATGGGAAGGAGCTTAAGGTGAACGGCCTCTATTGCAGCAGAAGCCTAGCTGGTCTGCTTTTATCTCCTATTCCTGAGGGTTGAGTGGGCAGCTGGCCAACTTCCTTATTTCTAGGATGCAGAAACACACCAACAAGCAGGTGCTTATTTATTATGAGGCTGGCCAAGATCTTACCATATAACCTTGAACTCTGTTTTTGTTGTTGCTGTTATTTTGTTTTTGTTTTTAGTTTTCAAGACAGGATTTCTCTGTGTAGCTTCGACTTTCCTGGAACTCACTACATTAGACCAGGCTAGCCTTGAACTCAGAAATCTGCCTGCTTCTGCCTCCCATGTGCTGGGATTGAAGATGTACATCATCACCCATTCTGCTAACATTCGACTCTTGATCCCGCTGACTGTTAGACCACCTTGCTGGACAGGCTAGAGCCAAAGGCAGGTGAGGCCACATCTTGACGAAGACTGCTTAGTTATGTATATCTCTTGCCCTCTAAACCTAACCCTCTTGCTGTGACCCAAAGATAGATTTGGGGGCCACTGAAGACCATTGTTTGAATCCACATTGAATAAATCTCATTTTCACTACTTGTTTCTTTTTTGTTTAGTTTTGAGACAGGTTCTTATTGTGTAGCCTTGGCTTTTCTGGAACTCTGGAACCAGACTGACCTCAAACTTACAGAGATCTACCTACCTGCCTC